GACGAGCATTCCCCCCACCCCGCCAGGCACCTCGATCTCGCCGTCGTGCTGCGCTGCGCGCGCCGTCGCCTGCGGCTTCATGCCGAGCAGTCCGATCGAGAAGCCGACGACGGAGCTGAGGCGGGGGGTGAGGGCGGGAGGGTGGGGTGGTGAGGGTGGGGGTGGGAGGGTGGGGGTGGGAGGGTGAGGGGTGAGGGTGAGGGGTGAGGGTGGGGGTGAGGGTGGTGGTGGGGGGGGGGGGTTAGCTGAGGCTTCGAGGGCGGCTCGTCACCACCCTCCCGTGTCCCTCCTCCCCTCTCCTCCTCCCCTCTCCGGGTGGCTCGAGGCGGCGGGAGAGAGAGTCGAGGCGGCGCACTCGAGGGGGGCGGCGAGGCGGGACGAAGGTGTGAGTGTGCGTGGGTGTGACAAGCAGAGGAGCGGCGAGAGAGGCCCGTGTCGTAGGAGGCTCGAGCAGCAGCGAGCTAGAGCCGGGGAGCTAGGGCAGGCAGTCTGGAGCGGGGAGAGAGGCACCCGTCTGCTGCGGCGACTGTGAACGAGTAGCGGCAGCGCGACGGCTCGGGCACGAAGATGGGAACCTCGAAGGTGGCGCCGGGCGCGAGCGACAGCGCCGTCGCCGCCCACCGCTGCGCCTCCACCTCCGGCTCCGCGGCAAGCTCCGGCGGCTGGCGCGCCGTCCGGGTCGGCGCGGGAGAGAGGGCGGGAGGCGGCGCGAAGGAGGCCGCCGCGACCGCCTCGCCCGCCGAGTCGGCCGGCGCCGCTTCCGCCACGACCGCTTCCCCCGCGACCGTCACGACCGCCTCCTCCGGAGCGCCGCTTCCCGACTCCCCGGCCGCGGCACCGGCGTGACCATTGGCGGGAGAGAGTGCTGCGGCGGCACCGCCCGTGATCGCCACCAGGCCCTCGATGATGGAGCAGTACGACTCCACCGCTTGCTCTGCTGACAGCGAGCGCACGTCGTTCCAGGCCTCCCACTTTGCACGAGCCACTGCGTCAAAGCGCGACGGCCCAGACTCGGGCGCCGGGCCCTCGGCCTGCTTGAAGAGGGCGTACAGCTTGAGCCGCTGGCTGTTTGTCAGCAGGTTCGGCGGCAGCGAGCGTGCGTCCTCAGACGCCCGCTTATACCTGGCGAGCGCCACCGGGTCGAGCGCGGGCAGCGGCATTGTGGAGTCTCCTTTCTCCAAGTTTGCTATGCGGCGTCGACACGTCTCGGAAAGAATTTTACGGCCACCGCGAGGTGGCACGAAGTTTGCAGCGAGAATCGGAGAGAGACTGCGAAGTGAGATAGGAAGAGGCGGACGCCCAATGGTGGGCGACGGCTAGCGCACCACACCCCTCTCCTTCAAACCCTGTCTGTGTGGTGGCGGCGTGCCGTTCTCCCATCCCTCCCTTGGGCTGTCTGTTTTCTTTCTTTCTTTCTTTCTGTGGCGCCGGGCCCGCCCTCCAGGGCGTGGCACGTCTAGTGTCAGCGACGCAAACGGCAAGTGTTTTGCGACGGCAAGTGTTGGGACCAACACGACGCCGATCGTTGAAAGAAAGTAGCAACCACTCACAGGCTCTACAGCCAAACCGGCGGGAAGGCAGTGACTCAAAAAGGGGTCGAGCCGCACTAATGGGGTGTCTCCGAGCTTACTGGAGCTCTGATGGACGGCCCTGACTATCCCTGACACACAGAGAGTCACTGACGGCACATAACACCCTATAACTGCGTCATGACCAGCCTGCCATGCGTCGCCGGTGCCGCATTCGTTGCTGTGCTTCTTTAGCAGGCGGTGGACTGTCGGCTGCGAGGACGGTCGCATTTGCGCGAGGCGAGGCAAGCATTGCTGCGCGTTGCATGCGCCATGCCTCCAGCGCGTGCGGGAGCTCCTGGCTGAGCGTTGAGTCCAGGCGAGTTGCGCTGGCCACCATCGCTACGCCGAGCCGAGCTGACGCGCCGAGGCGCCGGCCAGTCGCAGCCGTGAGGCATGCCACAGCAGCAGAAGCACCTGCCACCCATTGGGCGGTCAGACAGAAGGCCAGGGCAGCACTGGCAAGTGCAACGCGCCTCATGTCGGAGAGCGACGCCTCTTTCGCGGCTTATAATGCGAGTTTGTTGTTAAAGGATAGTGTGTGGCATAGAGCTCTACAGCTCTACAGCGCTCCAGAGCGCTCTACATCTCGTCGGAGAGCGAGCGTGCCTCTTTCGGGCTTATGCGAGTTTGTTGTTAAAGGATAGTGTGTGGCATAGAGCTCTACAGCTCTACAGCGCTCCAGAGCGCTCTACATCTCTACATCCTCTACACCCTCCCTCAGGCAACAGACTGTACCGCGCAGGGAGGGAGGGAGGGAGCTAGCTGCACACCCCGCTCTCCCCGCCCGGGCCGGTCCCTCCTCTGCTTCCCTGCGGTGCGTATAGCTGTCAAAGAAAGAAAGAAAGAAAACAGACAGCCCAAGGGAGGGATGGGAGGACGGCACGCCGCCACCACACAGGTTTTGCTGCGCCGTGCACTTTCGCGGCCGTCCTTTGACGTCACACAGGGATTTCAAGGGGAGAAGTGTGGTGCTAGCCGTCGCTCACCCTCGGGACCACTTCCTATCTCTCTTCGCAGTTTCTCACCAATTCTCGCAGCGACCTTCATGCCACCTCGCGTTCTTCCCACTCTCGTCCTTCCTCGTTCTCTCTCCTGCTGTTTCATCCTCTGACTCATCGCTCTCCTCGGCCTCGTTCTGAAACGCCGCCCTGTCTTCCGATCGTGAGTTTGGGTTTTCTTTCCCGCATGAAAATTCTCTTCTGTCATCAACAGTCTTGATGACAGTGACAGAGCTAGCCACTCGAGCCCTCTCTCCCGAAGGCTCCTTCGCCCACAGCCCACATCCCAATCATGAGTGCCTTCCTGGTGGCGGAGCCGGCCATCGTGTGTGTGGGCGAGATTGCGGCCGCCGCAGCTCCGGCGCTCGCGCGGGTGGCGGGAGATGAGGCAGCCGCCGGCAGCGCCGCCCGGGACGCGAGCAACTCTCGCTGGAGGATTGGCGACAGGGCGCGCGAGGTGCTGGAGGCCGAATTCAAGCGCGAGCGCTTCCCCTCGGCGAGCCATCGGCTCAAGCTCGCGCAGGCGCTCGACGTGGAGCCGAGGCGGATCCAAGTCTGGTTTCAGAACCGGCGGCAGCGCAACAAGGGCCCAGAGCCCTCGCGCTCGGCGTCCGCGGGGCCGGCCAGGTCGCAGCAGCGCGGCTCGCACGTCGAACTCGCCCGCCCGAGCTGGTGCCCGCCACCCGAAGGAACTAGCGGCGGCAGCGGGAGCAGCAGCAGCATCCGTGGCGGCGGCCTCGAGGCGCTTCACTGCAGCGAGCACGGGGCGGACCTCCAGCTGACGATGAAGTTGGGGCAGCAAGCCGCCGCCGCGGCTGCCGCCGCCGCCGCCGCCACTGCCGCCGCCGCCGCCGCCGTCCGCGGCAAGCGGGCCCGCGAGGCGCCTCTCGCCCCGCGCCGCCGAAAGACGCCTCGGGAGGAGAGAGAGAGAGAGAGACAGAGAGAGAGAGAGAGAGGGCCCCTGCTGCGGTGTGTAGGCGTACCCGGTCTGCGCTGAGCGGCAGATCACCGCCGCCTCGAGCACGGGCGCCGAGCGCGACGGCCGGCCCGCGTCAAGTGCACTGCCCCGGAGCCATGGCCCCGTGGCCTGCCCCTCCCCCTTTCCCCTCCCCTTTTCCCCTCCCTCGCTTCCACTCCCTCGCTTCCCTCCT